TGGACTTAATCATCGTTGAAGAATAGCCTCAGGCCGAATCCGCGATCTGTAGCCTTCAAAATCCAAAGAAAATGGCCTTTCGTCGCCAAAAAATTACGAAAATGCCATCCGAAAATAAATTGGCCCAAATCGGTGCTTAATGGACTTATCATCCGTGGAGAATTGTATCAATAGACTTTATTATCGGTGGCTATATGCTCGGCCTGATTTCGTGATCTGCAGCCTCCAGAATCGAAAGAAAATGGCATTTCGGAAAAATTGCTCGAAATCTGTGATGGTACCCCTTTGGAATCTGCCAAAAATGGGCCCGGAATAAATTCGCCCAAATCGGCACTTAATGGACTTAATCATCGTAGAAGAATAGCCTCAGGCCAAATCCGCAATCTGTAGCCTTCAAAATCTAAAGAAAATGGCCTTTCATCGCCAAAAAAATTACGATAATGCCATCCGAAAATAAATTGGCCCAAATCGGTGCTTAATGGACTTATCATCCGTGGAGAATAGTATCAAAAGACTTCATTATCGGTGGATATAGGCTCGGCCTGATTCCGTGATCTGCAGCCTCCATAATCAAAACAAAATGGCATTTCGGAAAAATTGCCCGAAATCTGTGATGGTACCCCTTTGGAATCTGCCAAAAATGGGCCCGGAATAAATTCGCCCAAATCGGCACTTAATGGACTTAATCATCGTTGAAGAATAGCCTCAGGCCGAATCCGCGATCTGTAGCCTTCAAAATCTAAAGAAAATGGCCTTTCGGAGCCATAAAAATTACGAAAATGCCATCCGAATATAAATTGGCCCAAATCGGTGCTTAATGGACTTATCATCCGTGGAGAATAGTATCAATAGACTTCATTATCGGTGGATATAGGCTCGGCCTGATTCTGTGATTTGCAGCCTCCAGAATCGAAAGAAAATGGCATTTCGGAAAAATTGCCCGGCATCTGTGATGGTACCCCTTTGGAATCTGCCAAAAATGGGCCCGGAATAAATTCGCCCAAATCGGCACTTAATGGACTTAATGATCGTTGAAGAATAGCCTCAGGCCGAATCCGCGATCTGTAGCCTTCAAAATCCAAAGAAAATGGCCTTTCATCGCCAAAAAAATTACGAAAATGTCATCCGAAAATAAATTGGCCCAAATCGGTGCTTAATGTACTTATCATCTGTGGAGAATAGTATCAATAGACTTCATTATCGGTGGATATAGGCTCGGCCTGATTACGTGATCTGCAGCCTCCAGAATCGAAAGAAAATGGCATTTCGGAAAAATTGCCCGAAATCTGTGATGGTACCCCTTTGGAATCTGCCAAAAATGGGCCCGGAATAAATTCGCCCAAATCGGCACTTAATGGACTTAATCATCGTTGAAGAATAGCCTCAGGCCGAATCCGCGATCTGTAGCCTTCAAAATCCATAGAAAATGGCCTTTCGTCGCCAAAAAAATTACGATAATGCCATCCGAAAATAAATTGGCCCAAATCGGTGCTTAATGTACTTATCATCCGTGGAGAATAGTATCAATAGACTTCATTATCGGTGGATAGAGGCTCGGCCTAATTCCGTGATCTGCAGCCTCCAGAATCGAGAGAAAATGGCATTTCGGAAAAATTGCCCGAAATCTGTGATGGTACCCCTTTGGAATCTGCCAAAAATGGGCCCGGAATAAATTCGCCCAAATCGGCACTTAATGGACTTAATCATCGTTGAAGAATAGCCTCAGGCCGAATCCGCGATCTGTAGCCTTCAAAATCCAAAGAAAATGGCCTTTCGTCGCCAAAAGAATTACGAAAATGCCATCCGAAAATAAATTGGCCCAAATCGGTGCTTAATGTACTTATCATCCGTGGAGAATAGTATCAATAGACTTCATTATCGGTGGATATAGGCTCGGCCTGATTCCGTGATCTGCAGCCTCCAGAATCGAAAGAAAATGGCATTTCGGAAAAATTGCCCGAAATCTGTGATGGTACCCCTTTGGAATCTGCCAAAAATGGGTCCGGAATAAATTCGCCCAAATCGGCACTTAATGGACTTAATCATCGTTGAAGAATAGCCTCAGGCCGAATCCGCGATCTGTAGCCTTCAAAATCCATAGAAAATGGCATTTCGGGAAAATTGCCCGAAATCTGTGATGGTACCCCTTTGGAATCTGCCAAAATTGGG